AGTGTTAAAATGAAAAAGTTTTATCACGTTTGCAGACAAATACTTCTGTTGTGCTATGAAGATGATGATAAAGATCAAGTAGATCCCAGTTTCCTTCTTAGAGACAAACTGTAAACCCACTGGATCTTCATATCCACTCAGACATATGTAACATCCCTTTTGCTTTGTCCCCACAGTTTTTTGAGATCTAGTGCCTCCTTCTGATTTGTTTATGCTTTTCATTTTTATGTACTTAACAAATCTTCAGTCTATTCTAAATTCTCACTGTCAGTGATTAAAAGCTGTACAATCTGTTGAGAACAGGCAGGGGGAGCCACTGCTAAAAGAGTGACACATCTGTCTGATTACAGCCTCACTGACAGTTCTTGTTCATCACATGCTTCACTTTAAATCTCTGTAAAGAACTGGTCTGTCTACTTGAGTCAGTTCAAGCCTCAATGAGTCTAAAGTAGTGACATTATGTCTGAGGATGGAGCTCTGCGGCTCATTTGTTTCAATACTGGTTGATGTCAGCACTGTCTGAGCTTTCTGTGGATCTGAGATAACCATGTGATGTAACAGGCATTTGATATTTATGATGATTTTGGAGCTTATAGAGGGCTAAACGTGGTCCTACATCTTCCATAATTATTACATATGTGTGTAATTTTGCGCACTATACTATACTATACTAGAATTTGTTTTGTATACATTCCTCATCACCTGTTCAACATAGCCATCTCAGTATTTTTCCACTAACATGCCCCTGCTCCAGTCAGCCACACCTCCTCATCAGCCACCCTGCTCTCCTGTGCACACCTCTGGCTTCCCCTCTGGTTCCGGCTCAGACTGCTCCAGCCCCAGCTCCTGTCCCGCCAAGGTCGTCACCTGAGCCGCGGGTAGGAACCCCGGAGCGCTACGCTGGAAACCTGGAGGGCTGCAATCCTTTTCTCTTCGCCCTGCAGCCCTACACCTTCGCCCATGAGGAGGCTAAGGTAGCCTTCACCATTAACCATCCAGACAATTCGTGGTGGAGATGGAAGCCCCCGACGTAGGAGTAGGAGCTATCCTCTCCCAAAGAGTGGCGGAGGAGCAGAAGCTTCACCCCTGTGCATTTTTCAATTTACAATTATCAACCAGCAGAAATTGGCTGTAGCTCAGTACAGAGAATCTGCGACTATTGATACGATTCCTGTGTAATATCTACTTGCTTAAGATCACAATAACACAACTGCATGACAGAGCTTGTCAGTTGAATTTCCCTTGGTATCACAATGTAACTTGTGCTTCAGGGTGTGGTCCTGCTATTGGCTGCTGGGCCCAGCCCAACAAAAGAACTAAATCTGGGCACCCGGTTAGCTCAGTCGGTCGAGCTGGCGACCCATGTACGGAATTGCTGCAGTGGCCCGGGTTTGAATCCGACCTTCTGCCCTTTGCTGCTCTGCCCCCCTTTCCTGTCTATCTTCAGCTGTCACTATCAATAAAGGCAATAAAAGGCCAAAAAAATAAAAATAAAACTAAATCTGACAGGTCTATGAAGTTCTACATCTTTCTGCCCTGGCAGCTGGATTGTTTACCTGTTTTCAGAGTTTTGTGGTAATGGGGAGGCAGGGATTTTCCTTTTTCATTCATCACTTCTTTTCTTTGTTCAAACAGGCTGGCAGCCTCCTCATGTGGTCAGTTGTTTGATAAAAATATGAATGGTTGAAAGATACTTCCTTGTGATTAGTGAATCTGGATTGTATTTCATTTTCTCACACTCATCCAATAAAAGTGGATGGTTTGGATCAGATGTTGGTTGGTGGTTTTCACATGAGATGACAATCATATCATCAACATCATGGAAACAAACATTAGCACAATCCTCAGTGCAACAACCATCCATCAACAACAGCAGATACAAAGGAATTCCTGAATCTCTCTGAAGAGCACCTGGGCATAACAAGCCTGTCTCTGAAAATATTGTACTTATTATCCTCTTAATGCCTCTTTCAAGACATCTGATTTCTACCTTCTGTCAACAAATCATTAATTTCTGCACTATTGACAGTTGTTTAAGACAACTGCGTTTACTGCCCATTTGTCAATTCTGTTCATAATCTTGTTTCAACAAAAACACAATATATACATTTCCTTATACCAGATCACTTCCGGGTTTATTGTTTCATGTTAATCTGGACAATCTTCAGCCAGGTAGAAGCAGGGAGACAGAGTGAAAGAGAGGCAGTCTTTGGAAAAACGTGTTGGTATTAATTCACTGTACGCTGAGAGAGTAACACATTCACAATGTCGCTCTCTCTGCTTCTGCTGCTGCTGGTCTGCAGCGCC